TAATGAACAGGTGTTCTAAGGTTAGGTGCAAGGTAGGTGTTGATCAGGACCAGGGTGGGAATTTATATGAAGGACAGGTGTTCTAGGGGTGGGTGCTAGGTGGGTGTTGATCAGGACTAGGGTGGGAAATGATATGAAGAACAAGTGTTCCAGGGGTAGGTGCAAGGTGGGTGTTAATATGGACAGGGGTGGGAAATCAGGAGGCTGAAAGGGGAAGGGGCGGGGTTGATGAATTATGTGATTTCTATTCCATATCATGGAAAGAAGTTCAATTCAAACAAGGGTTTCTCAGCAAATGTGCAACTTTTAGTGTGAAAACATTAGTCAGGAGGATCTGGGGGCGAGCTCTGATGACCAGAGAGATAAAGAAATAAATAAGGCAGAGGGGAGGGCGGGCCTCCCGGCCACACCACTGTAATTTACAATGTTATAGTCTGTAATTGAAATTTAGAAGAAGAAGAAAAAAGAAATGTTCAACAACAGCTTGTTGGTTGGGTACATTTAATCAGTGTTGTCTTCTCTTTTGGATGAATTGTTATCTAACATGAAATTATATATATATATATATATATATATATATATATATATATATATATATATATATATATATATATATATATATATGGACTTAAAGATACGTAACAAGTGAGAGTACAGCTGTATTCGTTCCTTTCAATGCATGCAAACTACTACTACCAGTTTTTTTTACACAACTGGAATAAAATCCACATGCCAAAAATAGCCCAAATTAATTACAGGATGATTCGCTGAAAGGCTTTAAAACCACAACTTTTCCAAATTTTTAGTAAGCTTGACCCAATTATCTTTCCTGACACAGTTTGTAATGAAATAAAAATGAAACAAAGGGAAATGACAAAACAAAACTATGTGCCATTACTTTAACTTATTCTGTTTGAAACAATTTGGCAGCAATTTGTTGGGTTTAGTGCAAAAATTTGACATGTCCACTGGCTTAATATGCACCTTAAAAGGTATGCCATTTGCTTTAAAAAAAGTATGCCATTTGCTTTTAAAATGCCCCAAAGTCTTATTTTCTATGTAGGCATAGCCTACAAAGCTAAATTTCCCAATTCAGACCTCCAAACCAATGAAACCCTTCAAATAGAAGTATGTGACATTGATATTTCTTTCCAAAATGTACAGAAAGACCTGGTGTCAAAACACCTGGTCAGATATTTAGAAGTAAATTATAAAAATATGATTGGTATAAAACAGTCGAAGTGCAGAGACGGTCAAGTAGTGAATTGTGAGGAAAAAATTAATTTTCCCTTCAGGAAAATATGATTCGACACAATAAGCACAAATAGGATACTTGCCTGCACATTTTTATATTTGTGTCTGTTATATATATAATTTTATTTTACAAAGATCAATAGATTTTATGCCTTTTATCAAAATGTTTTAATTGGTCAAAAAAAATATTTTTTTTTGGTAGACTATTAGTTAGAGTAATTGCTGTATGTTCAGTTTTGGTATTAGCAAAAAAATTTAATGCACTGTAATTGGGAAATAAAAATGAAATTAAGTGAAATACCATACCCAGTAAAAAATTCAATTCTTTTTCCATGACCACAATACACTCAAGAATCAATGAAGTCTTTGAATTCTTTAAAAATGTACACTAGATTCTGTTTTTTTTTCCTGTTTCAATCTAAAAGTGGAGTTACTCAGATTACAAAAAAAAAAAAAAAAAAAAAAAAAAAAACTTTTTGACCTTCAAGTTTTTTTCCTTTTTTTGCAGTCTAAGCAACTACATTTTAGATTTCATGTTCATACAGCACATAATTGATTTGCACCGACATATTCCAAATCATCATTGAATGAAAAGACAGGCAAAAGAGTGCTATTTTAAGTTTAGCAGCAAAGCAAGCGTAGTTGGGCGTGTGACTCGAAGAAGTCTATCTCTTCAGCATCTTTTGGCCAGGATGACCTCTGGTCTGGATGATAACTGTGTAAACTGACTGACCAGCCCATAAAGTCGCATGCACTACATCATTTATAAACTGATAAATTCATAATAACTTGTTGCCCACTTTTATAAAGATAGATAAATTATTAGGCGTTTTTTAAGCTCTCAGCTGTGGTTATGGGTGTATTCAACTGTGTACTTAGACTTTTAGTGGTTAAAGGTGAAATGAGTGTTGAGGAGGATTTATAAATCAATTAATTAATTCATTAACCAAACCTGTCCTCTTATAGGCGCAGGTTTGTAGCATTTCTCTATTAGCCCACACTGAATACAGAAAAAGCAAGTTTAATTTTTATTATATTCATTGAATCATCGTGTGACATAAATTAGACCCAAACCTAACGAACCTGAGCATTGGCTATTTGAAACACAAAAATTATTCTTTGGATTTTTGGTAAGATTTTTGTCACCTCCACCAAGGAGGTTATGTTTTGTTACCGTTTGTTTGTGGGCTTGTTAAGTATTGTGCAGATTTTGTTGAAATTTTCATGTAGTAGGTCACAAATGGCTCAAGGAACAAGTGATTAGATTTATTAACTAAGTCATTAATTAAGTAATATGGTACAGTTTTTGATGAAATTTTCAGCTTAGTTGAACGGGAATAAAACTGTCTGAGGGTGGTGGTATCTGTGATATTTGGCGACCAGTGTGTTAAAGTCGAGTATCGGTATGATCAGGACCAAGGTTTTTAGTTACTACTAAGCAGAAATGTTTCCCTGAAATTAGGTTTTAACTCTAAGAAAGAAGCAAGTGTTCTCAGTCCTGTGTTGCAGTCTCCAAGATAGTGATATATTACAAAAAAAAAAAAAAGTATCCCGCATTGTGCATTGTCTTTATTGAAAACAAATTGCCTGTAACATTTGGGAAGATGTGGACGTGCAAGTTTGTGTTTGGAGTCAACTTTTTGTGGCTGTTTATACCTATTAGTGGGTTGCCAGGTGTCACCTTGTCTGGGACGGACACACTAACGTAGTCAACCCGTCCCAAATGCCAATTTTAGCTTTTCTAATTCGCAGTATTTAATGTCAGGAGTGATAGTTGATATTATTATGTCATAGCGGGAGTCTGGTATTTAGCTCAAATGTCGGATTGTTTCCGAGTTTGAAGTCAGTTTCATTGTCAAAACGTGAATGTTGTATTCTTTGAAAACAAGCACTGAAAATGTAGAACAAAAGAAAAATGCTTTGATGATTATCAATAGTATAATATTTATAAATATATACAGGAGTGTTTATTATGAAAGTCTATAAATAACTTAATTGATGTTGTGTGTCTATTTTGTAAAACCAGGAACAAGTGTTCAATTTAGAAGTTTTCGTGTTGAAAATTTATGTTATGCCTTAATTACACAGTTGTTAATGTTCACTAAATAATATAAAATATTAACACTGCATGGATATTGCACAGTGAGATAAAAAATACATGTCACAGACAGGACCACAGGTGAATGTTTCTCTCCTTTTTCTAGAATCCCACCTTTTGCTTTGGAGAAGATAGTTAAAGATCTTTTATTTAATTATCCACAAAAGCAGGGAGAATGACAGTTCAGGTTAAGGGGGGGGGGGGGGGGGGGGGGACGGTTTTGTTCCCACCCTCATCTTTGTTCTTGTTCCCGTCTGTGGCCAGTACACATTGCATGCCCAGTGTCCATCTGCTGTGTCCACTCCTAGGTCACACTGGCCAGTCAACTGTATCTAGCCAGCTTAATTTGAGAGCAGAGAGGTGTAATTCAGCTTAGTTATCAGACACAATTTATGAGCCCTGCCCTCTTATCTCTGCTAGGGGGGTCCTGTATGCTCTTTAAGGGTTGACTTTAGGTGCAGGTGCTTTGGCCTCCGTATGATGCCTGTGCGTGTTTGTGCATGTGCATGCATGCAGAGATGCTGACGGTTGTTATGTTGTCGTAAACTCACAATAACAAATAAAGGCTAGTGCTCATTACACGATATCTCACTTTGTTTGCTCAAATACATTTTTTTGCTTGCTCATTTATGACTTGACTTCAAATTTTAAATTGGGCAAATAATTTAGCTATTTGACTACAACAGAAATTATTCTAGAGAGAAGGGCTATTGTTGACAGTAAGACGATAGATACATATACCAAAATTGCTCAAGTTGTTGAACATTTTACTTATTTTCTATTTTTATTTATTTATTTATTTATTATTATTATTATTGTTATTATTATTATTATTTATTTATTTATTTATTATTATTATTATTTTTTTGAGACACAGCATTTTATAATTGTACAAAAGCACTCTGTCTGAAATGAAACATCTCTCTCAATTTGTTACCTGAACATTATGTTGTGAAATATTATTCACGGGCCTTGTTTATTTTAGTGGAGAATGTTTAGTCAATTAAAATACATTAGAACATCCCAAGTTAGAAAGAAGTTTTTATGACTATTTTGAGACAGGTAATGGGTCATTTTGTGGTATTTTATTTTCCTTCTTTTGGATGGACATTTGAAACTAACTTAAAAATTAAAATTTAAGAAATAGTAAAAGTTAGAAGCTCCAAGTTTTGTATGTCTATTTCTCTAAATTTAGTCATATATAGGTATACTAAGGCAAAAAATTATGATGGAAAATTAATAGTCAAGGAAAAATATTATTAATTGTTATTGAGCATTATGGAAGGACATCAAATTGACATGGATTTTTAATTTTCAACTTTCAACATCTTGTTGGTTTTTTTTTTCAAAAAATAAGTAAACATGGCTTTTTTTCTCTCTCTGTAATAATAATTTTCCTTCAAAGATGTTTTCAAATTCACAATTTATTCATTTGTTTTTAAGTAGAATTACCAGTTGCTTGTTAATATACTGGGCAGAAAAAGGAATTAATTTAATGTCAGTCTTATTGTGCTAAACTTTTTCTTCTTGGGTGTCAAAATGTTGTTGATGATTTCAGATTTTTGTTGCAACTTTTTTTGTCAATTTTCATCTTTAATTTTGATAAGGTGAAGTAAAAAGGTTTAATAATATGTATTTATCATTTCAGTGAGAAGGTACAGAAATTAGAAGATATTAAAAGAAATATTCGAGACGCAATCTTGGTAAGTATATGAAGATGTTTTATTTAGAAATGTGTGTATTTGATGACTAAAAAGAGTAAAAAACAAGCGTTATGTCTGCTTGAGTAATGAGAGATGCATTTTGTATTAATCTTTTAAAAAATTTTAGACATTTTTGATACTCTCTCCAAATGCTGTGTATTTTTAAAAGTAAGTCACAATCCACAGATCTCAAAGTGGTGACAGAACAAAGAGCAAAATCTGACTTTTATTACAAGTATTGTAATGGTAAAAATACATTAAGACTCAGAAAACCTTTATTTTCTCTCATAGTTTAACAAAAGCTATGACATTCTGATACCAGAATTTATAAAAAATGAACTGAAATAAGCTTTGAAACCTGCCCACCAATTTTTTCTGTAGCTTTCCAAAATGTATTTTTACAAATCTGTAAAAAAAGATAAAGTATGGAAGAGCTGTCAAAGTATTTACTTTCGGTCAGCTGTATTTTATCAGTGCACTGGTTTATGGCTGCAGCTTATTTGTTTTTCCGCCAATTATGAAAGAAAAAATGTCAAATTCTGTTGACACAAGTGAAATACATGTGATGCAATTGAAATGTAAACTCCAGAAATAGACTTTTTGTGCCAAATTTAGAAGTAGGAAGCGTATATTTCTTAAGGGAGTATAACCCGGATTACCATTATTTGGAAACTTTTGATAACAGCAGACCCTAGTGAAGAAAAAAATAGTGAATAGTTGTACAAAGGTCCCTATATACTAGTGAGGTCTGCTAAACAAATAGAAGGAAAGCTATTCACTTTTAACCATATTAAAATTTGAACTTGGCAGGATTAAGGGGAGACAGAAACTAAATGGTATTTTTCCACAACAAATTTATTTAAATGCTATAAAAATTTTTGAATAGATTTTTAAAAGAGCAAGCATTTTTTATTTTGTCTTAGAAGATCAGGATAGTGGACCGAATAGTAGACCCCAAAAGTTCTCCACAAAGCTTGAGGTTCCCAGAGCTGAAGTCATGAGTGGGAGAGGGGACATACTGCAACTGTTTTTAGAAACAAAATTCCCATGAGCTACCTAGAGCTACTGATTACTTTTTGAAAAAAGAATTATACATCTTAAAAAGTATTAATAGTTATGAAAAGTTTTATGTAAGCAGTTTTTTTTTTTTTTTTTTTATTTTTTTGTTGGTCAATTGAAATCACTTCGTTTAACTTAGAATATTGAGCTAGCTTTGGACAAGGCAATTTAGGGTATAGAACTTACTAAGGAAAACTTCTTACCGTTACCATGTTTGGCATGGCAATGTGAACTTTAATTAACGCAGAAAGAAAGACCAAATTGGACTTGACCATTGGACATCTTACAGCATTCACTGTGATTGACCAAAGCAAAAATGCAAGTTGTATTAGGTAGTTGACAAGTGCTTGTAATTTTCCCCCTGGTTTTAATTGCTCTCTCTCTCTCTCTCTCTCTCTCTCTCCGTTAATATCTATGCATTTTAATGCGATAAGAATAAGGCTAGTTTTTAAACGAGCTGGCAGACATCAGTCCCGCAAAGCAAACACCATCCAGAGTGAAGAGAGAGGGCTAGAGCTGATATGACATGTTATTTCCGGGTACTCATAAATCTTTGATTGCTCCAGAGTTTTATTTAGCACTGGGTGGACCAGAGGTCAGTTTCGTACAGGGTAGAGAGAAAAGTAGTGGTCAGCAAGAAGTATATAGACATTAGCGATTGGCAGTCCAACTGGTCATGTTAAATAAAATTTTGAAACATTGATCGAAAATTCTGTTTAGTCTGTCTGAAGGACCTTCAACAAATTTAAAAGTCACCATTTCAAATTAACAGTCGATAGAATAAAAAGTTCTTTTTATTTGGCAAAATTTTGGTCCTGGTGTTTGGCTGTTTTAAAAAATTTTCATCATGTGAGTGAATGATCTGTGATTCAACTTTGGGTCTACTTTCACTTGATTTTCGTAACCCCTCCTCCCCCCCCCCCCTCCCCCCAATCTTCACCTTTATGATAAAGGGAAAATCTATTACTTCTCTAGATTTGTGAACAGGAAATATATGCATTTTTCTTTCTAGTGAAAAATAATTTTTTTTCTTGTTGTCATTAGTGTTCATGGTACAAATTTCACAATATATTCATTTCAGGATTTTGTTAATAAACCAAAGACATTTGGGAAGAAGTCTGTTTAAAACTATTCTTTAGAAAGTTTTTCAAGAATTCGTTTACAGCACAACACCCCATTGCCCCAAGCTCCTGAAATAGATACTGAGCCCTCTGTAGCATACAGATACCTAAGTGTATTATATATATCTGGTTATATCTACATGTACTCTACCACTTACACATTCACATCAGGGAGTAAGACTGGAGTAGAGTGGCTGCTATGTATTCGGCATACTGAGACTGTAGAATCCAGCACCGAGAGGTCCATGGCCTGCTTTACACTGGATATATTGAGGTCGGTTTTGATTCTGCACTTTCAGTTGCAGTTCTACCCAACACCTCAACAACCCTTACATGAGGTGCACTCAGTCTTCAACATAACCGTCCCAGGTTGATTGCTTGGATGATGTGCTGTGTACCTCTGGCTTGATTGCAATCAACACTTAGCCACAGTCTATTTGATTTGGGTCCAAATGGTGGAAACTGTTTGGTACTGCTGCCCCCTTTGTGTACGCGTGCGTGCATGCATATGTGCCCCCATCCCCAGGAACTGAGCCAAAAGGTTCAGCCATAGCCAACATTTTAAGCTCATACCAGTTTCATTGCAATAGGAAAATACTTTTGTTGGGTTCTCCAGATCTGCCGTCTCTGAGCCCCACTGTGAACGTGACCCGAATCTGGCTGTGTAAACAGACAATTATTTTCGCCACCAGACTGCTATCTTGGTTGTGTGTGAGTCAGCGCTGTTACTAATTATAGCCCTGTACAAAAAGGCTATGACCTGGTTTTCTCTGACAGGTGATGGAAATAATTATAATGGAGCTGCTGGGTCTGTGGGCTGTACTGTACATCTGGTGCAGCAGACAGACATGTGGGGGTTAGGCTTGATTTTAGGGTGTTAAGGAAGTTCTGGGCATGGACATTTAGAAACCTGCTTTACTCTGTCCAAAATGATTACTTGCGTTTTCAGTGGTTGTGTTTGCCTTTATTGATTCACAACTATAGTAAATTTTAATTAAAAACAAAAAGAATGAATTGATAAGGTCTGCTGTGTGAAAGAGGAAGAGAAGAAATCAGTCTTGGTTAAGCCTTAAGAGTAAATAATAATCAAAGAAAAGAACAAATCCAATGAACAGAGGGTGATACATAGTTACCATTATATTTCCAGTTGACTCTAACCTGAAGTTCTTGAAATAATCTCTTAGAAATTCCCTTAAAAGTTATGATTTCTGCTATGATAACTTTGTAATTTAAAACTCGGATATGAATGAATGAATTACCTTTTTTTCAATATTTTCATTCTAACAAGGCTATTCATCAGAATATGTCTTCATGAATGAATTGACAGTACTACATCCAAATAGAATCCACATAATGTTTTATTATAAAATGCAGAAATATTATTTTCTCCCTGTGTTTTAGGCCATAACCAACACAAGACATTTACTTTATTCAAGAATTAGCCTATTTTAACCAGTTGTGTTTTATCATACAATGATGCTGTAATTGTATTTTTTCATCCTTATTTCAGACGATAACGGGTGCAATGAGCACAATCAACCCTCCAGTCCAGCTTGCCAATCCTGACAACCAATATAGAGTAGATTATATACAGGACGTGGCCAGCAGGCTGGACTTCAGCTATCCACAGGTCAGTGAACCGGTCATTACAGAGAGAGAGAGAGAGAGAGAGAGAGAGAGAGAGAGGGGGGGGGGAAGGGAGGAAGAGAGAGGAGGGAGAAAGGAAAGAGAGAAAAGACAGTATAGAAGATGTAAAAACTTAAAGTGAAGGCCAAGTTGTGACAGTAGGTGGTATCGAAATTGCAAGTTTTTCAACTTCCTAGGCTTGGTGTGAAGGCAACTGTATTCCCTCTTAGTGGTGGAAAATTACTGTGGAATTACTGTTCACTGTGAACATACATGCACACACAGAACAATACACACTTTTCAAAGGTAAAGTTGTTTCTTTATGAAAAAAATACTCGATGAAGAGCAACTTGGCCTTAGGGTACCATTAAGCTCAGTGGTAATGATCACTAATATGGCTTCAAATTAACATAAAATCTCACCTTTTCCTTTTTGGAGCCTTACTTGGGGTCTTAGCTCACTAAGCTTTACTTGAAGCTCTATTTGTATTCAGGAAAACTTTTTTGCTGCATAAAAATCATGTGGTTGGTGTCCCAGAAACACTGCAGCCATAAATCATGGAAATGCCTTACATAACATTTGTCTTGTTTCTGGCTAGAAATAGCAGCGTCAGGTACCACCCAAGGGGATCTGACGGCTGTGATTACCTCGTATCGATTTTTTTCTCTATTTTTGGTCTCCATTTTCTTAAGGCTAGATGTTTGATTTAATCCAGTGGCGACAATAATATGTGTTTAAATGATCAGGATTAAGGTAATGGCTGGGAACGTATTCACTGATTTATCACTAGCTGATATTGAGGCAGGTTCAAAAGAAGAAATAGAGAAAAAAAAAAAACAGTTGGCCTTGTGGCAGTAATGGTGCGAACGTACCAACTTCATAGCCAGCATTATGGGTACAAATTCATAGCCAGCGTTATGGGTACAAATTCTTAGCCAGCGTTATGGACACAAATCATAGCCAAATCTAAAATCTTGATATTAATGTGCTGTATACATATACCCTGGATATAGATAGATACCCTATATGGTGCTCATTCCCTTTGAAGTTATCGGTCTAGGTAGATTGATCCAACTCTGTGCGGACTCTTGCTTAATTCAGTCAGTATACCATATTAACAGATTTTACTTCATTGCTGTGTCCATTTGCTTAATATAAATAGTCCCAAGTGTTAAACTGACATTGTTGCCTATGAAGATGGTATGCAGCAATGGTAAGCAGCAAAGGTGTTACATAAGGTTTGCACTTTGAAAATATGCTTACTCATATTAAACAGGCATCAAAAGATCAGTTTGTACAACTACACAGAGCTTAAAGAGTGGTATATTTATGCAGAAGAAGTTGAGATATATATCACAGTTTGCTAGTTGGCAAAATTCCTGCCACTGCAGGTTCTGAAAAAGAAGGGTTCAGTTTCCATTGCTCTGAAGTGGAAATTGTAGAAAGATTTTAGATTTACTGTATATATTTTTTCTGTCATAGTTTTTGTGTCCGTGTGTTTTGGTTAAATATCTGAATGTTTGCCAACTATGCTGTCTCTCTCCTCTTCAAAAAAGTAAATAAAAGAAGAGAAAATTGATTTAGATAAGCCTTGTGTTCAATATGGCCTCTGTGGGATTTTGGCAAGAAAAAAATGGTTCTAAAATTTCCTGAGGCCCTTATTAACAATTGTATAGTACTTACAGATCACTGCTGTTAAGAAAACTAAATGTGGATATACCCTAAGAATATGTTTTTTCAGACAACTTAGTCTTCATTCGGCTGAAGCTAGGGTCTCATTCCCAAAGAAACTAACATTCTGCACAGATCGATCCAACTCCGCAGGATTTTCACTGACTGCAATCAGGTTTACAGACTAACACGCCTCCTTTTTGTTTCCAATGCATTAAAAGCACAAGCTTTTCTATATTGTACTCGTCGTCAGGAGGAGGCATATTAAATTTGTTTATCAAATTGCATTCACCAAAGGTCTCCCGCGGAGTTGGATCGATCTACATAGAAAGATATTTTCATTGGGAATGAGCCCGTGATGTGGATTAATGCATTCCTTGCATTTTCTTTCCATGTAAAAATTAAAGTTTTGAGCAGGGGGCTGTCATTTCTTAACATAAAAAGCTTGTAACAAGACTTGGGGAAATACATGCCTATTATTAAAAAAATACTAAGATTTAATGCAAGGAAAATCTTCTTTATTTATTTATAGCAAGTTTATTTTAAGAATAAAAAGGAAATGTTTGGTACATTATGAATACTGGATTGGTTGAGTTGATGTTTTAATGTATATACATTTTATGAAAAGGTATTTTTACATAAATTTACAATAAATTTAATATACACGAATAAGCCATAGATTGACCAAATAAATACTAACTTGAAAAGAGAAATGCTCTTTCAATTTAAAAAGTCAAAACTCAGAATCTTTTCAATCAGTTGTCAAGTTTTAGTGCAACCAAAATATTTAGGTGAGAAATATATATAAGAAATTATCATATAGGAAAACCGATGAACTAAGAAATATGTTTTAGTCACTAATTTCACTTCAATAAGAAAGATTAAATGTGATCCAAATTAAGAAAAAACTGTCCATTCAGTTATCAAATTTTAAATAATACATTAAAGAAGTATTAAAAAAAAACATTAAAAATATTAACAAAAAGTTCAACTCAAAATCTGTCAGCAATTCAAATAGCAAATTCTCACAGGTTAACCCACTGTTGATGAAGTCAGTTGTTACTCAAGTCCAGACAGGTCTGTCAGACCTACTGTGTGACATGTGACCAGAGGTCTGTCAGACCCACCGTGTGACATGTGACCAGAGGTCTGTCAGACCTACCGTGTGACACGTGACCAGAGGTCTGTCAGACCCACCGTGTGACATGTGACCAGAGGTCTGTCAGGCCTGCAATGTGACATATGACCAGAGGTCTGTCAGGCCCGCAATGTGACATGTGACCAGAGGTCTGTCAGACCTACCGTGTGACACGTGACCAGAGGTCTGTCAGACCCACCGTGTGACATGTGACCAGAGGTCTGTCAGACCCACCATGTGACATGACCAGAGGTCTGTCAGACCCGCAATGTGACATGTGAGTCCTATAAGTCTCATGCTATAAAACCCTATAAGACCTAGAAAGAAAAGTGGCCTTATTGTGTGAGAACAGCTAAACAGTGGGGAGAACAGTGTTTGACCTTTCTAAATATAGCAGGCCAGTGTTATTTTAGTCTAGTGAGGCGCTGATCTATGCAGACAAATGTACTCCATTCCATAGATCAGGTTACTAAAGACCACGTGGTGGGGGGAGGAGCTGAAGAAAGCACAATGGAGAAAGAATGTGTCTGATCTGGGTGAGAAGATATTTGGAGCTTGCATATTGATGTTGTGAATGAGAGGAATGGGTTTTATGTATTGTTATGTGAATAAAAGAAAAGGGGGTGCGGTGCTGCTTATTGAAATGTGAAAAAGGGAAGAATAATGTATACTGTTATGGGGAAATTATTTGGAGGAAGTGGACTTGCGTATTGGTATTTGAATGTCTGACAAGAAAAGAGGAGACATCATTGACTTTTGTTGCATATTTTGTTAATTTTCTTATTTGTGACCTTGTCCTAGAAAAATGTCAGGCTTTGTCTAAGGCCATTTTTGTTTTTCACAATTTTTTCTTCACTCTCTTTGGATTTTGAGCTGTTAAAAATGAATTTTACACTGGCTTCAAATGAAGAAATTTATAAATATGTGTTTAAAAAGTTAAAATATTTTTCAGTTGTATGTTTGATGACTATATGGTGCTGTAATCTGCATGTGTTTTGTACATCTAATTTTCTTTTTCTTTTCAGGAGTTCTACGAACATACAGAGGAACTGTGGAAAGACGAGGGTGTGCAACAGTGCTTTGAAAGAGCAAACGAATATCAACTGATTGATTGTGCAAAATAGTAAGTAAAGCTGTAGTTTATTTGAGCAACAGAAATTATCTGATTAAATTTTGGTATTTGGTGTTTAATTTCTTTTTTTTTTGTGTGTGTGATTATGCAAAATCTAAGTGGACTTGAATTTATAACATGTTGAGATTTGCAAAAGTGCACTCTTTTTTTACCCTATTTTGTATAAGGGTTTTTACTTCTACTGTTAAGGGGGGTATTCTGAAATAAAATTTAAAAAAATATGAATAAAAATTTCCAGTTCTATGTAATTGTTAACTAATATTTATGTGTGGCTAAACATTTGGTTATAGCATTCTATCGGCATGTCATGAGAAAGAAAAAAAAACATTTTATGAAGTATGGCTTTGTCTGGAACTGTTGTATTTTATATTTGCTGTACTATAGGTATTATATTTTATATTTGCTGTACTATTTTATATTGGTGTTGTGAACATTTTGTTTTTATGCTGAATTGTTTTCCTGAATAGAGGATATTGAATATTAGTGTCAGACATTTCTTATCTGCTACAGCTTTTGATTAATGCCCCCCAATTTTTTTTTTTTTTTTTTTTTTTTAGTGTGGCTTATCCAGAGCCAATATGCCATACTCTCTGTCATGAACACATTTGCTGGATTTAAAAAAAAAACAAAAAAACATGAAGTCTTATGTCACATCCTCACCTTGCTTGCTTTCAACCAGATAATGATTTTCCACTGGGTATTTAATTAATAAAATTTATTTCTGTCCATTAAAGGTATCTGTAACAGTTTGAATAATTGTGAAGAATGAATCCCTCAAACTGGGATATTTTCATGACAAAAAAGTAAATATATATATAAAAAAGCATTAAATAAAATATGAAATAAGAATAAGTTAATAAGAAAAGGTTAAAAAAAAAGATGACAAGAAAGTAGGAAGGCTTTGAAGAGTTAAATCAGAGAAGTTAAAAAGTAGCAAGAAGAGCGAGTAGGTCTGCAGGAGAGGAACTCCATATTCCCCTGCCTTACATACAAATAATAGCTCTCAGGCTGGCCATCTTAACAGTTGCAGCTAATCAAAGTGGATCCAGTCCAAACTGTAGAAATGTCTGAGCACACCACCCTGGATAGGAGGAGAGAATCCATATAAAGCAGACACAAGACCAGAGGTGCTTGTATGCAAATGTCTTAGTGGATATCAGAGAAAACAAAGTTCTAAGAATTCAGTTGAAGTTAATAATTCATAAGGAGCAGCCAGGATGGAAGGAGTTTTGGGTAGCCTGGGGATGGAGGCCATGCACCCCATTGCATGTATATCAGAGAAAAAATTGAGAATTCATCTTGCAGATTTTGCTGCACTTTGAAGTTATATTATAGGGTAACAGGCCTGAAGCAATGTGTGTGTGTGTGTGTGTGGGGGGGGGGGGGGGTGTTGAGAGAGAGATGACGTTAGCATGTGTAAAGTTGCTTTTATATCAGCTACAGATTTTTGAGGAATTTTTGCTCTGTTTTGTGGTTATTTTGGCTTTTGGGACTTTATTTATGGTGATTGTTCACGGAATGAGAAGAAAAGCAGGTACCTAAATTTCAAATATTATAAATTGTTATAAACACCGGAAACACATCAGAAATCATTTTTGTGAGTAATTTAGATACTAGTTGTAGTTAATCTTTTAAAAAGAAAAGTTGGTGGTAACAAAATGTTGGATTTAGGTAAGGAGGTAAGAAAGTAAATCCTTCATTTTTTTTGTTGACTTTTTTTAAAGCACCCCATAACCTTTTTTTTTTTCAAAAGAATAATAGTGTTTGATATATTTGAGAGCTGTTACCGTAGTATGGTGGTAGTGTGCTGAGGTGAAGTCTGGACGACCTCAATACAGGCTGGCTGCTCCACCTGCGGCTATAAATAGCACCCAGTAAGAAGGAGCTGCCGCTATTTGAGCTCCGCAGCAATTTATGGCCCCATTCTCAGCCATTTATAAAGAGTGAGTCTCAACAAGCACAGGGTTGGAATGCAGCTCAGAGTAGACTGTTGAGTTAACCTTGTAGCTCTGTGTGAGTGTATGTCTATAAGTGCACACATGCGTGCGCGCACGCGTGTATGTGTGTTTGCTTGTATACGTACACTGAATAAGGTTAGAATGTGCAAATTGTTCCTTCTGTCTTGCAGCTCTTACTATGGCCTTATAAAATAATGCTATAATTTATCATCTTTTTATCAGTACTTTTTATGGTGGCAGTCTTTGCAGGTGCAGATTTGGTACGTGCAGACTATAGAAAGAGAGAAGACGGCAAAGTTGTAGTGGGATATTTCCAATATAGAAAAAGTCTGATTTAGATAAAGGTCATCCAAATATTACAATAGCTTTGCTCATGCAAGCACAAAAAAGGGGTTTGCTCTCTGTAAACTGATCAATTTTGTCAGATTATTGGATTAGGAACATGAAACCGCTTACATGATTGATAAGGCCACATTTGATATTAAATTCAATGTTAGCGTGTGTGTGCAGAAAATAGCAGAATGGCTGGATTATATTCATGGGAATGAGATAATAATAGCCTCAGTTCAACCTATATTTAGCCAGTAATTTCTGGGCCATAGCTTTATTGAGAATATCATTACTTCTGATGGTGTGTATGAATTAGGCATGTAGTCAGGGGAATTGACTTGATAACTTGAGCCCGCTAGTATAAAAGACTTCTAATATAATGACTGTCATTAGTTTTACCAGGTTTATAGTGTATGTGCAAATACTGGGGTAAATTTACTATAGAAGTATGGTGATTGGTTTTGGTTGGAGCTGGGAGTTTCCTAGATCTCTGGCTTATCTATTGTGATTGCAGTTTACTCATCAACCAAAGTCAAGTATTAGAGTTAGTTTACAAAAGCTGCTAAGAATTTAAAGTATGTATTGGGGTCGGGGTTGGGGTTTAAACTCTCTGAAATCAGTCTTCCAAGTATTACAAATCAGAAAATGTTTCAGACAATATTCACTTTAGACTGCAGCTATTCAGAAAATGATATGTATCATACATATTCAGTGTGTAAGGTTTTTAGTTCTCATTTTGACCGTTTTTTTTTTTTTTTTTTTTTAATATTCTTAATTTTCTTCATATGGTCCAAATGCAATGGGAAATGGCAAGCAACAGTTTTAGGATTTACAGTTTTGACAATCTTCACTCGTGCCAATATGGTACAAAATAGAACTGTCACAAATCAGCTTTAAGTGCGTCTTAAAGCCAATATGCCAGAGCAGTGTGAATGTGTCCCCATTTCTCCAGCACAACTCCATATGCTTTCCCTCTGTCTGCTGAACTCAGCAGCATGCAAATGGTGTATTGATTGTGGCTTTAATATTTCATATGGTAATTGATATGAAGGGATTTCCAAGGCTCTGGTAGATGAATGCAAGATTTCTTGCCTTGACTTGTACTTGCTGTTTGTTTTATTGACTCAGGGCTAGGTATTATACCAGTGCGGCAATGGAGATTTTTTGTAGACTGTTTTTTAAAAGAATCCAAACTTAAATGATATAAGATAAAACAAATGTCTCGAATTTTTTTACCAAAGTATATTTGATTCTTTTAGTTTCTTTGAAATTTCTTTTGGATTTATTTCTTTTATCCTAGAAAGCTATACGATGAAATATCGTTTTGGACATCTTTTTGCGTGATATGGACTGATAGGCTTATGGCTATACCTACTACAAACTTATTACAATAAAGTGTATTTATTTGTTGTAAAAAGAATGCATTTTGAATGAGAGAAAAAAGAAATGAATTAAAAGTTAAAATGATCTTGTTAAGCAGTACAATTGAATGGCATTGCAGCAAATCTACTTTGTGAATAGAAACAGTTACTGAACCCAGATGATCTGAATTTCTTATATTATTTTTGGGTGTTTGAATGTTAGTGTCGTGTCAAAGCATGGTTAATCTTTCTTGGAATATCAAAAGCCCAGATTCTCATTAGGGTGAGAGAGAGAGAGAGAGAGAGTGAGAGAGAAAGTGAGTGAGTGTGTTTTTTCACCAGATTTCCACATGTATTCTCTTAATATATTAGTGTTGTCCAGTGAGAAATTTTGGGGAAAAAATGGCATCATCACCAAAACATAATTTGTGATCATTGTCACGAATTGATGAGTTTTTACTGCAAAAAAGTAAGTCAGGTTATTTCTGTCCTGCCAGTATTAAGTTTCTGAATTCTCTTTCCCTAAGTGAATTGTGACATGAAGGTCAGGGCTATGATTCGATGTGGACCAAGGTCTTAAACAGTCTTCTCTCTCTCTCTCTCTGACAAGGAAATTGTATTTTTTCCAGTATGAAAATGATGCATGAAAATTTTGAAATGTTTTGCTCTGTCTAGAAAATATAATTTAAAGTTTTGTGGTGTTTCATGGCTTGGTGGTGTCTTTCAAAGGGTCTGGTGTGTTGGCTTATCCTTTGAGAATTTAATGGAAAAAGAACAGTGGTTGGTCACAAAGATTATGCTCCAACATCACGTTAAGGCTATATGTGCTCAAAGCAGAGAAAAGAAATTGTGGTTTTTGTGGCTCTCTGATTTGTCTAATCTTTTTCCATCATCATTTTGCGAACGAAAAAAAAAGGAATACTTGATTGTTATTTTTGGATTTTTGAAATATCTGTGGTGAGAGAGGGTGTATGAATTTGGAAATCAAAGCTTCTGACCAGCCTTATTTGGTTTAGATAGGGATGATCACGACCTTGTTCCCTGGTCCTTAGCTCTGTCTTATTATAACACTAAGGGTGCTTTCCCAGAGATTTAGATCGATCTAACTCCCTGGGGGTTCATGCTTAATTGCAGTCAGCCGAGCGGGCACCATAGTTAATTACCCCCTTACAGTTTTTAGTAGGCGGGACAGACGCTTAAGCCGGCCAAGCTGACGGTAATCTAGTGAGACTCCCCACAGGGATAGATCGATCTAAAAATCTATGGAAATGGGGTGTAAAAGTGCATTCCCATAGATTTAGATCGATCCATCTAGATCGACCTAACTCCCTGGGGGTTCACGCTAAATTGCTATCAGTCGAGCGCGCACCATAGTTAATTATCCCCTCACAGCTTTTAGTTGGCAGGACAGACATTTAAGCTGGCTAAGCTGACAGTAATCTAGTGAGACTCCCCACAGGGATAGATTGATCTAAAATCTGTGGGAATGGGGTCTAAGACCCTTTTATCATCCAGCATCATACGTTACTGGACTAGTACAGTTTGAGAGGTCGGAACATGTAATACCACTTCAGTTCCTTTAAAATTTCTCTACACGTTAGCTTCCTGTTTAGTCAAGTTGATTCATTAGTGATGTTGGGGGTGGGGGATTCAGATGAGACTGTCGCGTAATAGCTTGCCTATCAAGTTGTCAATCTCTTATAGTGGTCCAGTGAAGATCCGGCTCCATGTGAAAAGGACCTCTCATTATCAAAATACCGATGTTACTTACCAAACTCAAACAAAATGATTTCGTTATATTCTCCAAAACAATATTTTATTTTCATTTCTGCAAATGATTATTTTAAGATTTTTATTGTTTTTAGATTTCAATTTGAAAGTGGACCCTTTCATCAATTACTTTCATTTACTCTCTTGCAAATACTTCAAATATTTAAATTATATATTTCGAGAGTAATAGAATATGTTCATTTATACATGATGTTGAAAACAAAGCTCAGTTTTTATTATGCAGTGTGATACTTTTCTTTGTTGAAAATTTTATTTTGGATAAAAAGTACTAATGTCTCCTTGTTGAAATAAAATGTCAAGGATCATGTAGGCTGGTTTCCGTGAGTATCTGCAGCTTGGTATTACCTTACAAATGTCAACAACTTCTCTGGATGGGCGGTTACTATCCGATCAGTACGTGATCTGGTCATTGCCCTCCCAGTTTAAACAAATCTAAAAATATTAATTTTTTTTTTAATTTATGGATGCTTTGTTATATCTAAAAACACAAAATCAGTCAAATTACTCAAAATTTTGCTTTACTAGCGAAAGCTAAAAAAAATCAGTTATGGTGAATATCTCAGAATAATTGCTTTGCTTGTAAAGGCTGAAAGAAGGGATTCTCAGAGATGATTTTGATACATGTTAGAAAGCATGCCTTTGTCACTAACTTCATATTATTGATATTGAAACAGTAACTGTATTACTGAGAAGCTTATCCTATAGCTGAGTGCCAATACTTTGAAAAGAAATGACGTATTCTTAGCTTACTTGGCTTAGCATATTTTGGGAAGGCCTGTCTTGTTAAACCCTCTAGTTATGATTACTCATCCATAACTTGTTAGTCTAATCCTTCGACTTGTCCACCATAATGTTTGAGGCAAGGCTAGTCTGAATCAGGATTCACTGGTCTGTATAAGAATTTATTCAAGACTGGACATTTAATGCATTAACTAATATTAGTTACAACAAGATGTAAATTTTGTCAAAAAATTTTTTATTATTTAAATTTATTTTGTAACAGTTACATTTTAGGAAAAAATTACATCAAATTGAAAGCTCTTTTGAAAAATTAATGGCATTGCCAGACCACTAAATTCAGATATTCTGAATAATCTACTGGTCCAAACAAAATTATTACTAGCTGCAGACTGCAAGGCAAGAGTTGTTAGGTTGGCCTTCATTTGGTTAGTTAATGATGATAGTTATCATCTGAGATGTGGATGTTGCTACCTAAAACATGGATGTTGACACTGCATGACATCGAGCGCGGCTTGAGAAAGCATGAGAATCTGTACGAGGTGGGGCTAACCTCTCAGCAGTAAGAAGGGTGAAACTCTATATGCTCTGGATATGTCATTTGAAAAAGCGCTTCAAAAATAACATGCAAAATGTCTCAAATTCATACTGTTGTGCAATAGACTGTAATTTACCAGAATGTAACAGTAAACTAGCAAAATTTCTGTGGATAAAGTCTGCATTTTTTTCAAAGCCCCTTTCCCTTTGCTACACTGCCATTGTATCTGCACCTTCTCTCTTTTTAATCCTGCTTGATTTTAAGTTACAAGACTTTGGACAATTTTGGATAACACCCATCAGACTGTATAGTTACCTGGGTTGTTAACTGTAAGGCTAGCTCTGTTTGATTGGAAGCACAGTTTGTGACAAAGAATTTCTTAATAATAAAAAAAGTTTGGTTTTGATAACCAGGGACAATCAAATATGCTTGTACGGCTGGAACACTAAGAGTCTAAGATGACTGATTGAAATACTAGAAACCTTAAGTAGTCATGCTGCACAATATAAGCTACAGGACTTAGCTCATTATGTGATAATGAACAATGTTAAGAAACATTTCTGCACAAAGAGTGCTGTAATAAAGAAATCTGCGACAGCATTTCTGCATGGCTATTCACGTGCCTGGGCACCCACAGAGAGACACCAGGGGTGCCTGGATGAAACATTGTCCATTAACTTAAGCAAACAGTCGGCTGTCACAGAAAACCCAAATATTGATTGTGGCTATAAATAGAACATGCCAGCTATAAATAGCAGCACCGCCATAGAAAACACAGTTGACGTTTTGACCTGGAGAGATTAGTGTTTGATGATACTGGAAGGAAGGAAAGATATGGTTTCTGTAGTGTGGATAATTAGTCATTAAAAAAGGAAAACAATATTCATTAAGCAGTACTGGACAGGGAGTTGGGCCCTTGAATGGTATATTTATATATATGTTTTTTTTTCAGTTGTAAAAAAAAAGTTGGAAACCAATTCCATCAATAATTAATATGATATTGAACACAGAATATGTATGAACATAAGGGTGAATTCAATCGAAGATTTTGTCTGTTTCCCTGTGGTAAAATATATATCCTTGTTTATTTTGTAGTANATATATATGTTTTTTTTCAGTTGTAAAAAAAAAGTTGGAAACCAATTACATCAATAATTAATATGATGTTGAACACAGAATATGTATGAACATGAGGGTGAATTCAATCGAAGATTTTGTCTGTTTCCCTGTGGTAAAATATATATCCTTGTTTATTTTGTAGTATGATTTGTATTTTGAATTATTGATGTTAGAGGTTGCAACAAATCACAATGGATGTTTCTGTAAAATAAAAATTGGCCTAGTGAATTTTTTTCCCCATGATATTCACGGGCTTTTTTTTTTTTTTAAGTTAAAAAATCTTGAGAGGATGGATGTTTTTATGTTACATAGAAAGAAAATTGTAAGGTTTCCAAAACATTATTATTGGTCAGTAAGTGTTGTTTTGCAAAAACATTTTTCAAGATAAAAAGATATGACAACAGTGGAACAATTAACAATAAAAATTGTTTTTGATCTTTATTTTGATTATTGTAAAGTTATAAATAATTCTACCTCAGGTTTTAGCCTTTTATCAAGGTCACAACAGTTAGGGGCATTGAGAGAAAAGAACAATTGATTTCGGGTTTAGTCAGAACCTTGTCAATAATTGATCCTTGAACTCTAATAGACAAAACAATAGCAGTACCAATAATGGCATCAATACTGGCAGTCGTGGTTGCACCGGGTGACCCAGGTGGGCCAGTATTTTGTCTGGACTAACTGATCAATACTTGGGCAACAGTTTTCATTGTAAATGAGATCTGTGTACAGGATGACATCCCCTTCTCCTTGCCAGACAGTGACAAGACTGATTTAGGAGGCATGTGATAGGCTTTTTTCAGGAAAAAATTGTGTGACTTTGAACTTGAAAGTTAAATTGTTAAAAAAATTTACTTAAAATTGTAATGGAGGTGCTGGGGGGGGGGGGGGGGTGATACCTTGTGGTGCTCCTGGGACATTGGTCAGACAGCTGTTCTGCTTTCATTTAGACTTCTTTTTTCATTAGGAGTGACCATTTTTTCAGATAATTTGGGTGATTATTATCGTTTTTAAAAAATCATTATTGGAGTTTGGAACCTAGGTGGCCTGTCTCAGTGAGTTACTGTTCTGCTTTCTCCATTTCAGTTTTCTATGCCCTTTTTCCTCCAGATTATTATTATTATTATTATTATTATTATTATTATTATTATTATTATTATTATTTCACAATGTGCTGTAAGCTCATTTGCAACTGTTTCCCCCTCCCACCCCTTCGCAATAGGTTCAATAGGTGGTAAATCAGAAGCTTATTAAGCAGCTGAGGTTATGATAATGTGCAATTCGGCCAGCCAGATGTGACATGACAAGTGTTATTGTTTCCAATCAACATTTATTCATAATAAAAGTATCTGTGACATTTGTAACTTATTGGATTATCAAGACTGACATATTGGCCCTGGAAACATTAGTGAAGAGGATATGGCTGTGGTTACTAAGACCTGGAGACATTGAGAATGTCACGTAGCTATTGTAACCTCACAACCAACCCGTACTTGATAAACCGTTTATGGGGGCTAAGCTGTAGAGTTTAATTTAAGCAGTTTTTGTTTTCAGAAAAACCCATGAAAATTATAATTATAAATAGATCAAAATAATCTTTTTTTAGCATTGTGTAAAGTTCTATAATGTGTTGCCTGCCTAAAAGAATACAGCAGTTCAAGGTTCTCTAATTTGTTTTATCTCAGAGATTATTTGAATATTTAAAGGGCCATTATGCATAATGATTTTAAATGCATTATTGAGGATATTGTGTTTTTTTTCCTTTGGGGAGAGGGTAAGATGTTGCTGAATAAGACATGCTAATGCACATTATTATTTTATTTTTGGGGGTGGGGGCAGGGGTTTCCAATTACTTAGAATTTTTATGTCACATTTCTGATTGTAATTATTTGTTTTAACCTTGCATGGCCAGCTATATGCCTTAAATTGTTGAAAAAACTGCAATCATGTTATTGATCTGGTTTCTAAAAAATCTTTTTCTTCTTTTTCAGTTTTTTAGATAAGGTTAGCAATGTAAAGCAACACGATTATATCCCAAATGAACAGGTAAGTGGAGTTCAAAATGGTATTTAAATATTTATCTCACTGAGGGCAATTTTACAACTTTGTTATGCTAGTGGCATTTTATTTTGTAACATAAAATGTTGTTCTGTTTATCCGAGTATTTATTAAGTATGTTGAAATATATTTTATTTTGGTTATTTTATGTTTTGTTCATTTTGTTAAATACTCGTTAAAAGATTTCTTTATGGTAATCCACAAATACAAAAAAATAAAATTATTGTAGTTACTTTACGGATTTAAAATATGTTGCATTTTTTTCTGTTGTTTAAATTCTTACATATTAAAGTTTATTTGTCTGCTTTCAGGATATACTACGGTGTAGAGTGTTAACATCAGGGATCTTTGAAACAAAGTTTTCAGTGGACAAAGTCAATTTTCAGTAAGTAAACATTGTAGCAATGTTCTTCATATTGATGGGTCCAGTGGGAAGGAGGTTGGGATAAAGTTCTGGGACAAATATTCTACCTAATGTCTTAGGGATAGGAGGCCTTTTCCTGAATTTTTTTCTTCAGTAAATGATAAAACTTGAGAATTAGCTTAGAAACTAGATCAAATTTAATTCAGAGAGGACCTTTTCCAGCCAAAAGGGTGGATCTTTCTACCCCCTCTCCTAACACACCTGCCTACAGAACAGAAAGGCTAGCAGTATTACAGGTGAAGGTTGTAAACATTTTTACAAGTCCCAATTTTTTTCTACCCTAGCAGGACTCCCACCTTAGATTCTGCACAAGTACCAGTCAAGCTGGTCAAATCCCTTGTCTCATTTTCATCTACTCTTTAGCAGAATTCCAGTCCTAGATTCCAAACAAGTACATTTCTAGTTGGTCAAACACCTTAATTGTTGTATTTTCTTCTACCTTAACAGTATTCTAGCCCTTGATTCTAAATTACAGTTCAAGCTGGTCAAACCCCTTGTCTCATTTTCTTCTACCCTAGCAGAATTCCAGCCCTAGATTCCAAGCGAGTACTTTTCTAGCTGGTCACATCCCTGGTGACTACCGTTAATTGCAGGTGATTAGAATCATCTGTGTTCAACAATTGATTGGATACCAAGAGCAACCAGGGTTCTAAATATAGCTGCCCAATTCCCTTCAGAGCCTAAAAATACAGGCCTTGAGATAGTTTATTGATCGGCAGCCATCTTGTGTGGCGTGCTGTCGTGCAGGTCCCTGGAAAATGGGGATAAAAATAGCACCTGTATTGATTTCCGAGAGGCAGGATGAGAAGTGTTCTTAGGTGCCCCCTGCAGGGAGGAGATTGCTCCACTAATTATACTGGAGTTCATAGGTGGGGTGTCTGTCTGTCTGTAGGAAGGGTTGGAGTTGGTCCTCAAAAAATAAAACAGAATTGAATAAAGAATTTGTAAAAAAAAGTCAAAATGCTAACAGATATACTGTACAAGCAAGGTTGTGTTTCTCTCTCTCACCCTCTCTCCTCCCACCCCCTCCTGCATGTATGCAAATGTATACAAATTGCCCATATTTGTCATAGTAACTGCTGATAACTCAAAAGACAGATAGACCCCTGTCCCTTCTTTTTTTTTTCTGTACTTCAAACTAAACCTTCTATTGAGGTGATTATGAAACTTCTGAATGAAATCACTGCATTTTGTTTTTCTCCTATATCGTGTTTGAGAGAAGTAAGAGACTGGCTGTTCATACCCAGGGAAAATGGTCAAGTTTCTCTGATCCTCTCGTAACATTATTATGTTCTTATATTCCTATTTCAGCATGTTTGACGTGGGCGGGCAGAGAGATGAAAGACGGAAGTGGATCCAGTGTTTTAATGATGTGACAGCCATTATTTTTGTCACAGCTTGTAGTAGCTACAACATGGTCCTCCGAGAGGACCCTAGTCAAAACCGACTTAAAGAGAGTTTAGAACTCTTTAGGAGCATCTGGAACAATAGGTGAGTAAGATTGATCTCAAAGATAATTTACAAGAATTAATATGAATTATTGAGACTACAATGTCATTTCCTAGGTGGATAAGATGAAAGTAGGTAACATTTTTGTTTTATTGGCTCTTGAAATGATTTTAGACTTTGGCCGTATTTTTGTATTATAAATTCTGATTCATTTTATTGAGAGAGAGGGGGTCTGAAAATGACAGTGTGTGAAAATAAATACCAGATCTGTTGTGGCTGAGATGAGATGGAAGCAAATTCAGTTGTTTCTATATATTAAGTGAAACAAAGGCATTTTATACTTCTTTAGCTTAAATATGAAAAGCACTTTCTTGTAACATTTCCTTGTAACTGTAAAGAAAAGAAAAATAAATGGAAACAGGTCCATCTTGATCCTTACTGCTTAATGTAGAGAGTGCTGCCATCTTTTGGTTGATCTGTAAAACACTTTACATCAGTGACAGGAAATAGAGATTGTCACATGACCGCAGTAATCAATATGAAGTAAGCACAATCCTTTTAAATCTGTATCAATTACTGATAATTCATGCTGTATGTAATGATGGGGTTTATTCCTGCATGTGTTCAGATGAGACAGGACAAAGTTTTGGAACATTCCTGCCAGAGATTTGGTGAACATTTTATATTTAGTATATTTATCAAAGATCATGATGTAGAATATATACTTTAAATCCAGATATTTTGTTATGATGACAAAGTACATCTGCCTGAATCAAGCTTCATTTTTGTCTCAGATAGCAGCACCCATAATGTAAAAATAAATCCTTCACAACAAAGAACACAGAAATTAAAATCTTTTTTGGAAAAAAAAATCACTTGATATTAAAGGTTATTGACCCAAAGGCAGTTCGTAGAGTAAAGCTGAAGAAGGCTGTGCAGTGATTTGTTCATATAGCCAGGCAGATATGATGCCTGTCCTCAGCTGATCCAATTGACTGCTATATCACTGTGCTAGCAACTCAGCTGCACAATGTCTGCTCTTTAAGAATTGATTTCTGTGCTGGCACTGGGTTCGTTCACTCGTGTCTTAGAATCAGAGTCGGTCAAAATGCCTTCAGCTATGGCAGCAGTCAACTTAACACGTTCTGAAAGAATTGATTTCTTGTGCAGGCAGTGGACATTAACGGTGGTTCAGACATGGATTTGGTCAGAATTCCATTAGTGAGAACCACATTGTTTGATTTGTGTGTACAACAAGATCAGTATGTTTACCATTTATCTATGATTACCTCTCATTTTTGTTTATTTTCTAATTTTCCAGGTGGTTGCGCACAATCTCAGTAATTTTATTTCTAAACAAGCAAGATTTATTAGCGGAAAAAGTGATGGCTGGCAAATCAAAAATTGATGATTATTTCCCTGAGTATCGAAGATATGTAGTTCCTCCTGAAAGTGAGTGCTTGAACAAATATTTCCTTGATGAAGTATCTGTAGGCCTATGTGTTTTTGGAAGTACAAGATAAAAAAATCAGGACTCAAAACAGTGAAAAAATCAAACAGGGAAATGGTTCAGTCTGTGGATGTTGTCATTGGGGAACAGCTTTAAGTCAAGTTATGATGTATTTTTGTTAGTGATTTTTTAAAAACCTTTTCTGATATCATAACGTGCAACCTTGATGCTGAATTTATCAGGTTGTTTTAAAGTCTTAAATTACGTTTTATAATTCATAGTTATGCTGTAATATATTTTGCTACTCTGTATAACTAACAGTTATATTACCATTGTATGAAATTTTGCTCTATCATTTAATTCACAGTAAACATTGTTTAATATTTTGCTATGTTGTATAACTCAGTTTTATCATACCATTGTATAATATTCTGTTTTATTTTCCAGTCCATGAACCAGGGGAGCCAGAAGCTGTCACAAGAGCCAAATATTTTATTCGAGATGAATTTTTGGTTTGTATATATTTTGAGACCAAATGATTTTTAAAGGCCTTTGGAGATACATATTTGTCAGAAAAATAGTTTTAACTGGATTGATTTCAAATGAAAGAGTCCAAAAGAAAGAGTAATTTATTCAAAGTCAGATGGTCAGAAATAGACCAGAAGAGTATTTGTAAGACTAGACGGAGAAATCTAAGGTGCAACACTGTGACATACTGTAATTTGCTTGTCTGCCAATCTGGGCCCCGTAACTTAAAAGCATCGCGCATTGCGACCAAGCGCAAGCGTTTCAATTCCATAACTCGCCTATACTCGCCCCATATAATACATTGTAGCCTCTATGTGATATTGCTATTCCCAATACGCGATGCTTTCGAGTTATGGGGGCCTGATAGTTTGATTATGATATAAAGGACACATGCACAGTATAGTGTACTATGGTCTTATACGAAATGTGCCTTTTTATATTTTGCTCAGAATAAGAATAAACACTGGGTAATATCAGTAAGGCAATTATCTCTTTTTTAATAGCTGTAGATTTCTTTCCACACTGGAGGGTACTATAGTATGAAACAGTAAAACTGAACTGATGGGGCAAGGCAGAATTATGCCAACTTTACACATAACATGAACGTCACTGACATGACTCAGAGAGTCACTTTTCATGGGCCGTTAAAGAAGTTAAAGTATTTACTCTTCCAAGTTACTGGAAAAAGTATTTTAACTTTATTTGTCCTCCCTTCCATTTTCCAGAGGATTAGCACAGCCAGTGGAGACGGGCGCCATTACTGTTACCCTCATTTTACATGTGCAGTGGACACTGAAAATATCCGCCGTGTATTTAATGACTGTCGGGACATCATCCAAAGAATGCATTTGAGGCAGTACGAGCTGTTGTGAAGCCAATGGGACTGCTACTGCAGCAACTTCTGTAAAGTTATTATTGGACAACTAGACTTGAACTTGAGATGATGTTGTTGTTGATGATGACAATGATGATGTTGATGCATCACTGTTGATGAAGATGAAGAAGAAGAAGAAGAGGATGGTGGTGGTGATAATGCCGTCACTGCCTCTGCCCAAATGGAAAAACTTGCCTGTGATGTGCACTGTGTTGTTGTGAGCAAGCTTGTCTGTCAGTCAACTGGACATCAAGGATTTGATTGGCTGGATTCAGTGAATAGGATGGAGCCATTAGAGGTCAAAGGTGAAGGTCAGGGGTTGCCATAATGTTGGAGGGAAACAAGAAGCGTAAGAAGACTGTGGAACAGCCTAGTGTACAAATAGTGTATATTCTTTTCATGGTACCAAGATTAACTGCAGTTTGTACATATTTTGTGTCCATTTTGCCAATGTATAAAGGAAAATAATTACCACATTGCAGCAGCAGTAGTAGGTTCCTGCATTAATAAGTAACTACAAGGGGCTGTAGAATCAAGCCAGTGACTGTGAGAACCAACATCACATAACGTAACAACGTAACATTTTGTTGACTTATTACATGTGCAGAAATGTGGACGTGTGAGCAAGCACACGCACATGCATGCACCCACATATCCAAAAACAGTTGAATGTAGTAACTTGATAAACTGGGGTATGTGAAGCAAGCCAGCTGTTTGACTCCCGTATATATATATATATATTTATATATAAGTATATATGTGAGTATATTTATATCTATATATATATTTATATGTATGTATATATATAGATAGATATATACACTTACAAGTAGTCTTATGTATTCATAAGCTTTTGTTAGCTTGTCTTTGGTTCTATCTCGTATATATATCTATATCTATTAGATCATATGCAGAAAGCTCTATGGTGATGTCACACAGGAGACATGCTTGGTTCATAATCTATAGCAGTGCTGTCTGTGCTCTTCTTGTAC